GCGTGAGCAAACAAGATTTTTGAAAGAAAGTAGTAAAAAACCTTGGATCTCTCCATATGCTGTGATAGTGGAAGTTGGGAATTAGTAGAGTTGCATTAAGATAGCCTGCCACAGCAACCGCATTGCATATCTAAGCATAACATGGCAGAGAAAAGTCAACATCTTTGACATAAACAAGACTGCTAAACAGGATTGAGAGAAATACATAGAATTCATGTATCACAAAAAGATCAACAAACCTACCGATGTCCGCTGCTGATTCAAGCCTCCGTTTGCCTCAACATATATATAACCATTTGACTCGGGCAAGGCTACAAATATAAGCAAACCAAAAAGCATAAAGAGAATACCTACTCATTCAATTATGATCCAAAGAAAAGGCTAATACTGCTAACTTTTGAGCAAGCACAAAACACTTTACTCTTGCAGATTAAAATCCAGCGTCCATTATTTTTTTCATCCAGGTGAAAACTTTTGATAAGAAATACTTCATACATGCCGCAGCTTAGAGCATGTGAGAAGAAAAATTCTAAAAGAATATAAATAATTTTGTAATACCTCCACTAGACGTGTTCACGTATGGCTTCCACTCCCCACCTTTGTATGAATGTTTCCAAATGGTTGATATCTAATATAAAAACAGTTCCATTGGTGATGAATGATATGTACATTGGTAGTGTAGAAACAACCGATATTAGATTCTCATCCCAGCACTCAAACCGTATAAACATGCTGGAAAAACAGCCACACAACCAAAGTAGCGTTCAAGATAATAAGAAGGTATTCCTTCACCAAAATCCCCAATCTAACAGTAGTTTCAAGGGTAAGAGACAAGGAACAGTTTTTACAAGTCAATTGAGCTAAAACTGGATAGCACAGTATCATTATTTCCACCTAAATGTCTTGAGACATAAAGAGACTAAACAATTATCCAATTTCATCGGAGCTAGGAATGATTCAGGGAAAATTGCCAAGAATACACTAAGAAAGGCTGTGCAAAACAGAAATCAAAAGTCAAAGGAGGAACCAGAGAATCGCCAGAAACAAAAGACGAAGCCTTTGTAACACAATGTGGAAGGGCAAAGAGACTCACCGCATCAGCCGTGGAATTATCGGCGTCCATCTCAGGGCGGAGCTTGGCGTAAACCTGCGGGCTTTTGTAGACGGATCCTGGCGGAGGCTTACGCTGGATGATGGGAACAACATCGAACGAGACCGTGCCCATGTAAAGCAGCATACAGGAGATGTAGATTAGAGGAGCGAAGAGGAAAATTCCCTGACGCCGGAGAAGAACCGATAAGAGGATCCAGGAGAGGCGATGAGCGAGGGTCCGACTTGGCTGAACGGTGGGAAATCGACCCGCGGCTTTCGACCGGCCGTGACGGTAACGAGGAGAACGGCGAGGAGACGCCGGAGGAGACGGAGTAGTGTGGCCGCTTCCAGGCAGCCGATTCTTTGCAAGCATTTGAATCAAGAAAATCGAACAGATCTCAATCCTAAATTTTCCCTCCTCTTACGTCATAATAATAAGAAGTCCTAACGGCGGAGGAGGAAGGTCGGGAAACGAAGAGATTCGGCGATAATTAACCCGACGGCGGCGACTGCGGCGGAGCGCGGTTGCGAAATTTGAAGTTAATCGCCGGAGAAGAGAGAGAGAGTGGCTGTGTGGACCTTTTTTTTTTCTTTTCTCTTTTGCGGTGGAGGCGTGATCAGTCACATGCACCCTTTTCTTCTCTTCCTTTGGCTTTCTTTCTTTCTGTCTTCCTTTTAATTTCGCCCTTAGATTTTCAAAATTTTATTAGTATGAACATTTCCTTTAATGGAATTGGAAACTCTTATTTACATTTTTTTTTTAACGATATTTATTAATTATCATGGCATGGAGGAACAGTTTTATCAGGCTTTTAGCTAGACTAGGACTTTCACCCGCGCACGCGCGGGTCTGTATCTTAAATCGGTTTAAAATATATTCTTAAAGAATATTTTTTTTAAACTGCAAAAATCAACAATTAAAATTTAATTTAATACCAAAATTCTCTGAAAACAAAAGTTTTTAGATATATAATATCGTGTTGAGATCAAATCTTGACATACAAAAATATTGTTTAGATCATATCCCGGTAACAAAAATGTTTGTGTATGTCTAATGACCAAAACTTACTTGAAGATATTCAAATCATTATAATAGGACAAACTTTATTAGTATTATATATATATATATATATGTAAAATGTAATGTTAATTTATGAACTATTGTGACGTGTTAATCATTTTCTAAACAGAAATATATTTTTAAATATGTATAGTGAAATTCTTAAAATTAGATGTCAACAGTATTTGTATGTAACACGATGTTTATTTAAAATAACTTCAATTCGTTATGTTAGAACTTAAAATGCTATAAACAACATATAATTTATTTTTCAGTACATTTAACTTACACATCGTGTTATTAGTTTATAAACTTTGATCATAATAGTATATATTTAGCTTTTATATAATATAAATTATGTATATTTTTTTTATGGCTTAAAGAAAATCTTAAATCATTGTTTGTTCAATGTTGATTTTTTGTTAGTAATTTTGTCACGTTTTTATGCGTTATGGTATACATTTCTTTTTAGAAGTAGTTTTATATTAATGTTTACTTGAATATTTCCGCCTTAAATCTGTTTATAAATACATTCTTGTTCAAAAAATTTGTTAGTTACATATTTGTTTAGAAATTGCAAAATTCAGTTAGTGTTTATTTAATTGCAAAAATGGTTATTAACTCACCTCATATCATGTTTCTAATCAAATCGAGTAATCATATTTGGCAAGTTTATACTACACCAAAAATGAAATATTTCCTCTTGAATTTGATGGCAAAAGCTTTGTCTTGACCGATCAAACTCTGGCTGCTCATGGAATTGATACACCTCCTGCAATCATTGTGATCATCAAAGAAACAGTCTCCATATCTTCTTCATATGTCTTTCTACAGTATGAGTCTTGGATCAAGCCTGCTTCTCAATAAACTTATGGCAAACTCACACATTTTTCAGAACTCTTTGAAGATGTAGAAAAACTGATGATTATTCTACCCCTAATAGGTTTATTGCCTATATCTTTTTATCCTTATATATTTTGCCATTTTTGGAAGGTTCGTGATTTTCTCTTATTTGAAAATCGTTATTTACATGGAGATGAAATCTTCTTAAAGGATGTGAAGGATGCCAGACATCAACCTCTTCCCTCTCCGTCTGACCTCCATTATCCTCCCGAATACGAACTCTTATTTTGTTGATGTAGGGTGGAATGCTTTCTCGAAAATTTGTTGTATGGTTGCACTATTAAATCTCTTTGAATTCTTCTGCTCCATAGTAATCCAAACAAACTATTTACTTTTTCGACCATTTTTTTGAAGCTACGATGAACTAAATATTATATAGTATGCTATTGTTTTCTTGATTTTTTGTTTTAGCTCCCAAAGCTTGATCTCTCTCATCACCTAAAAAACTGCAAATGAACTCATATGTCTTCTATACGACATTACGCATTTTTGTTTCTATCTCCATTTTTTTATTCATAGATTATGTAATGTTGAGATCGACTCTTTTGCAATGTTGGCTTTGTTTGCTTAGAACAATTCTTCAGTTATTATGGTGTAACCTACTCTTTATTTGTAAAAACTTAAGTTTGGTCAAAGATAGTTCACCTTAAGGTTTATTTAATTCTTTATAACTAATATTTTAGTTATACAAATGTTTTTATATAATTTTTAAAATTTAGTAAATTATTTTTTTAACAATAATTTTTAAAATCTTAATTTAATTACGTTGGACTTGTGGAGTTTCTAATTTAAACCGGTTCTATTAATTAATTTTCTTGAAACATAAAAGAAGTTAACTAATTTTAAAAATATAGCTAATTTTAGATGATATAGATTAATATTATTGGCTGTTTAAAATTTGAAAAAAATGAGATGATGATATAGATTAATACTATTGGTTGTTTAAAATTGGGAAAAAAATTAATTATGTAAATGTTTATGTGGACCAATAAGATGCGGTTTTATAATCTTATGTGGACACTCTTAAATGCATTTAGCCTCAAATTTTATATTAAAAACATATTTATTAAAAAATATTAATTAATCACTTTAGACTTGGGAGTTTCTAATTTAAACAGATTATACTAATTAATTTTTTGAAACATAAGAAAGAAATTAACTAATTTAACAAATATAGCTAATTTTATATGATGATATAGATTAATACTATTGGTTGTTTAAAATTTGGAAAATTTCTTAATTTTATATGATTATGTGGAATGATACTATTGGTAGTTTAAAATTTGGAAACTTTCTTAATCTTGAAGATGCTTATGTGGACCAATAAAATCTGTTTTAAATCCTATGTGGACGCCTCAATGGCTTATAGCCTCAACTTTTATATAGTATAGATTGCCTTATTTTAATGTTTACTAAAGAGTCATTTATTTTGGAATTAAATTAATTCATTTATTTTTTTGGATGTTGTGTGAGTCGTGTGACCTTCGTCTACTTTTCATTATTCGTATTAAGGAGTCAGCGATCTTTTTTTTGTCATGTTTTGGATTAGGAAAGTTGCAACAAAATATGTAAAACATGACCAAAAAAATAATATTGCGTATATTGATATTTTTTTCTAGGTTATGGTTTGATATTATCTTTCTATTTTTGTCAATAAAAATTAATCTTAGCTAATCTACGATTGTGAATTATCTATCCCTTTCGACAAAAAAAAAAAAAAAAAAAAATTATATAGAATCATTTTATATGAGCCTATAAATATCTAGAATCATTTGCAGGATATCCTTGTATATTTTTATATTAAATTATTAACTATAACAATCAAGCGATGAAAATATATATTTCTAATAGTTGAAAAAAACACTATAAATATGTAGAATGATAATCTTCTTGGTATGAAATTATCAACGTAGTAATCATCTATATTTTAATAGTTGGAAAAAGAAAATAGAAATATATTTTTTTAGTCGAGAAGTACCCATCTACTTAAGTCAGACAAGAAAAGCATCTCTATCGTATAATTATTCGAATACTGGTTTTATTAAAAGATCAATAGTATGATGACACAATAGTGCTAAGAGTATTTAATTTAAAACTAAATAACTCAGAAGACAAAGCCAACACGACAAGCAATGTTGATTCCATACTCTGATTCTATATTTAGCTATAACCTAAACTTTTTTTGGGGTTAATGTTTTTTAGCTAATCTTTCAATTAGGGTGTATCTATGATCTTTCTTGATGACACTATTATAATGTGAGTTTACTATAAATTAGCCTGTGGCTGTGTTGCATGTGCAACTGAGAGGGAGTGGTTGGCAACAGCCACAATTTATTTATTTTTACAAAATAAATGAAAATATTCCAGATTTGGTAAATACTATATGCCATTTAATTTACTAATATTCCGGTGAGATCTTCAGTTGATAAATATGACATGACACGTCCAGAATTAATGACAAACTCGCATGCTTATGATATACAGTATAGTCCTGTATAGATCTAAAGAACATGAATGTGTATATCCAATGAATATTTTCCAACTCTCTAGATACAAAAACTTTATTAATTTATAAACCATTTAGCTATCTAAACATTGAACTCATCTGACAAAATGTAGACCCCAAATTTCAAAATGCTCTTCGAAAATGTTTTTACTGTATTTCTTATTTCTCAAATCAAAAGAAGATTGTCGTGAGAGAGAGTTAATGACACTTTCAAGTTGCAATAAGCTCTGTCGGGTTTTGTAACTGTCGTCGTAGTTACCAGCTACTTGACGTTCGAAATCACACGTTTGGAACCGGCCGTGGAACTTTTAGCGAATATATGAACTATACAAAAAAAAACGAGCACAAGCCTCCCCAGTTTTCCTCCACATTTTACTTTTTTTTTTTTTTTTTTTTTACTTGATGGCTAAAAGAACAACGATCAAGACTAGTTTTTTTCTTTTTCTTTGTCGACACATCAAGGCTAGTTATAAGGCAAAATTCAAAATTCAAGGATGGAAATGATGAGAGATAACAAAAGTTTCAATCTTCACCCACATTAAACAAAAATTAGCCACTAAAAAATTATTTATCTCAAGAACACAAACGCCAGCAAGAAACCCACTTTCTTTTTTTTTCATTACTCGTGCGATGTACCGATATGATGTCTTCGTCCCGGAACAGATGATACATGCGTCCATCCATACGAATAGAATTTTCTTACTTAGACCATCATAATCACCAACACAAAAATATGAAGGTATTCAAATAGACTGAAAGCAAGGACTAATATAGTATCGCTAAGTGAGTATCTACATCAGCACAAAAATATTAAATTATATTTAAAATATTTATTAAATACATGACTATTCATATTGCTTCACAGACGGAGTCTGGTGTGGAGAAACTGGAATCGGAGGCATGGGATGGATCTTCACAGACGGAATCGGCACAGATCTGAACCACGGACAAGCATCCGAACATTTCGTAACATCACCACTAATGGCAGAAGCCCTCTCAATCCGATCTGCCCTCAACCACGCTTTAGAGCTCGGAATCACAACCATCCACCTCAAATCAGACGCTCGAGACCTCGTCCGAGCTATCAACATGCAAGAGCAAATCGCGGAGATCTACGGGATCCTCTTCGATGTTAACACTTTCGCTTCAATGTTCTCCTTTATCTCTTTCAACTTCATTTCGCGTCTGAAAATGATAAGGCAGATGCACTCGCAAACAATGCGAAAAGCCGACTGATGTTTTTAATTTCGGACCCTACTGTATCAGTGTAACAGGTGACATTTAAGTTTTAATGAATGTTGTTAAAAAAAAAGATATAAATAAAACTAAAAAAATAAATTAATAAATATAAAGTATATGATAATTTGATGTTAAAAGTTATAGAAAGTTGGAATATAAATCTTATATATACAATTAGGGAGTAGTGTCTGTTGAACTATAATCATATCTCATAAACTAAAGTGTTAATTATTTAATCGAGAGACACAAGTTGTCTTGTACAAGAGTTGTGTCTTTTAAATTCAACAGTCATGTTTCTTTAGATTAAAGAGTCATGTCTTTTAGATTAAGAGTTGTGTCTTTTAAAGACATCTTTTCATTTTGTATAAATATGTGATCAAGTTTCTGTTTCAATCATCACAACAAGTTGTAATACATTGAAGTTATTAATAAAAGTTTCATTACAACTATACTCTGTTTTTATTCTCATTTTGGTAAATATCACCGAACACAAAACATTAACAGTGTTCACATCAACACAAAAATATTAAATTGTATTTAAAATATTTATTAAATACATGACTATTCATATTTCTTAACATTTATACATATTTTAGACATATATAAAACTAAGAAAAATATACAAATAAATTAATTAATAAATATAAAGTATAATTTGATGTTAAAAGTTATTAAAATTTGGAATATAAAATGGAGATAGAGTAAAGAAATATTTAACTTGAAATAGTATGTATTTTTTATTCAAAAGATTTATCCTATTTAAAAATGTTATAGTGTGTTTGCAAGCTAAAAATTTGGATATAAATTAATTAAGGTAATAGAAAGTAATGAGAAATTAGAGTTGAAATTTGTTTTTTTTTTAAATATAAGTCGAGTTTTTAAACGTAAATTTAATTGCAATGAAAAACATGAATTTTTTAAGGATTGTGATATGTTTGTTTGAAAACAATAATTTATATTTACAAAATTAACATAATAAGTATGTTTCACAACAAAGTTACAAAATAACATAATCATTGGTGATGAGGCTCACATGCTATCACAACAAAGTAGATATGTAAAAAAAAACATTATTTTTTCATTTAATTTCGGGTGCAAATGCGATTTTCCATTATGTTTACAAATTTTAACATTGAGTGAAATGCATATGCATATTTATAGTCTGATAGAAGTAAACAAACATAATATTTACAACATGCTAAAAATTTTGAAATAGAAAACTCGAGATAAAGTGGAGTGTTAATATCCTAATAAAATAAAATAAAAAACACAAATTGTTCATATTTTTTAGTATTAGTGGTTGGGTTAACTCAAAACATAACAAAAATATGAAAGTTAAAAGAAAAAACTATCATAATTCAAATCAACAAGTATAAATAAAACTAAACAGAAAAACTATTGCAAACAACCCCGTGCTTGCGCCTTCCAAGATTTAGCTGTGGTTTCAAGATTCATTGTAGATACTGTCTTGCACATACCTCGGAACCCTTTGTTGATTCTGAGATAGCACTCGTAAAGACGGGATATCAAAGATTGAGTTTAGGAAACTGTGATGCTTAATTAACTCGAAGAATATCAAAGAAGTTACAAAGGAAGTGATCTCGTCAACAAGCTTGACGAGATGAGCAACAGTGAACAAGAGGAAAACAAAGAGAATTCTGCTGCCTAGGTTTTTTGCGTATCTTTCTAGATTATTGCGGATGATTTTCGGATGCCTCTCCAAGAATGAAGGGGGGGGGTCTTCATTATATAGTGTTGATAAGTCGGCTTCTCGGCGAATATTTTACTTTTTGCGAGATGGAAAACTTACTCTTTTGCGATATGGAAAACTTTCTCTTGTTCTTGATTTCCTTCCATTCTTCGAGTCTGTATGAGACTTTATTTACATTTTCTCATGGATTGTGTCTTTCTCCCCAAGTCTTGTCATTTTGTTGAGGAAGTTAGGGTTAAAGTCAGATTGGGCTTTTATGATTTTACAAATGGTAACGAGCTCAAGGAAATGTGCCCATTTCACCTCTAACACCCTTCTTCCTTACAAATTAATGTCTCCTTTGTGGATAAAATGGAGACATTAGAGACAGTACACTAGAGACTTATCCCCAAAGCAACATAAAAACAATATCAAAACTAAAGCAGAAACAGAGTGGTAAGCATTTGAGAACTTGCTATTTGACTGGAGCTGCACAGATCTTTTAGCTTTCCATAAACAGAGAAGTAAACCCGCATATGACGTCACAAAGGAAAGACATGAAGAGACCTCTAATGACACTGAATACTCACCATTGGGACTTGAATTGAATCTCTATAATTCCTTAAAGTAAATTAAATAAAGAAAGATGAAACCCACAGCCCAATTAGGAAGTAGAGCTATGATGGTTGGTGAAAGGCCTCTATGCATTCCTTAAGCTTGTAATGATCACACTACCTGGTGATTTTTTATCAGATGATATATACACATCTCAAAATTCTCAAAAGAAATATTCGATTGAGATTCTTGCATGGAATCAGATTAAAGTTTGTCTAATACCTCTACGACCTAACGTCAGAGGACTTGGAAGGCCAAAAACTTGTGACCTTGTCTTGATCACATTCAATGGACAAACAAAAGTCGCAGTTATTGCACCTGAAAATTCCTATTGAGATTCTTGTATGGAATCTCCTCTTATTGGAAAATTATGATTTTCATCAATAAAATATATCAAAAACTGTTATGAATTATTTTCTAGTTAAAAAATATCTTAAAGAGTAATTATGTTTAATAATTTTTTGTAAATTATTTCAAAAATATAAAATAAATTCCGCGTATACACTGGGCTTATATAATAGACAATGAACTGACTACAATCACGAAAGCTGCATGGAGTTAAGGACCTGAAGACAAAAGTATTAACACTAAAGAGACCACGGAGAAGACAAAAGTATTAACAAATTAAAACCGTGTTTAATTATCAACAGGGAAGTCAACAAGTTAAAACTTGGCGAATTTCACTTTACTTTCACGAACCAAAATAGGCGATTAAAATTTTCTAGAAAATTGACTTTGCTTTCCAAACAAAATCTGATCACTTTTAAAAGTAAGTAAAATCTAAGTCAATTAGATCGAAATCGAAATTATCGTCATATTAATAGTGATATAAAGCTGGATGTGTGCAACGTGGTCGCGACAAGTAAAATTTTCATAACTCTTAGAATTGGGACATATGTTTTTCTTTTAAATTTGAAAGTATGAAGAAAGTGACAAGTGTCATAGAACAAGAAAAATAAAAAAATTAATATATAAGACCATCAAAAATCAGAAAAACAAAAAACAAATTATTAAAAAGGAAATATATTACTTCTATTAAGAAAAGGAAAAAAAAAAATACATATTCCCATTGCAAAACAGAAAAAATATGAAAAAATCAGAAAAACAGGAAAAAAATAATTAAAAATAAATTGTTACATCCATTAAGAAATAGGAAAAAAACATATTAAAAAGTATTTCACCAATCAAAATATTTTGAGTGGAATAATTAAATTTTTACGAATTAATTAATCAATCAGATTTAAACACGTGTAAGTCTTTCTATATTAGATAAAACTAAAAGAAACAAATTAATTCATTTTACATATCATGAATTGGAAAAAAAAACATAAAATTGTTTGTCTAAAAAAATAGTTGGATTGATTAACCCGATATTTTAATTTTAAATAGTTTAATTTTTGATTTTTGTTAGATCAAATATATTTAAACAAAAAGAAATAAAAAAACGATTGTCAAAGTTATAATGGAAAAAAATCTTTCATATTCTAACAGTAAAAAGAAAAAATATATATTTTTGCATTTCATATTCTAATGGAAAAAGGAGAAACTGATATTTACTGTGTTATATGCTTTATTAATTCTTATATAATAAACTATAACCTTCAAAAACTAATTGTGTGCTACCATCTTCTTTTCACTTTATCTAATTTAGAATTAAAAAAACAAGGTCTTCAAAATTTCAAGAAATCAATAAAAATTATGTGATTATAAATCGAAATTATTTTCATATTCTAACGGAAAATGAAAAAAAATACATGTCATATTCTAACATAAAAAAGTTTTCACATTCTAACGGAAAAAACATATTTACCATAATGTATTACGTGTATTACTTAATCTTACATAATGATCTATAACCTTCAAAAAATAATTGTGTGATTCCATCTTTTTTTCATTTTCTCTAATTTAGAATAAAAAATATTACTTCATGTTATTTGAAAATGGGAAACTAGAATTCTTAAAGAAAATAATATCTTACTATAACAACAATAATAATTAATTATTCAAATATATATCTTATTATAATATGTTTATTACAAAATCATTACATGACTATTACTCTTTATTGTACGGTGGAATTTAAGTGTTTTATGTTATTCAAAGATTTTTTATCGGGCTTTTAATATTATTTTACTTACTTTTAGAGTAATCATACTTTTTAAAATATTTTATCGTAAATTATTCAAAATTTTTAAAATAAGCTCCGCGTATACGCGGAGCTTATCTACTTTAAATAAATAAACAAGAAAACTACCTTTGCCTCCTTTTTTCTTATAACCTTCACAACAATTGGTGATAAAATACTGCAGATATTTTATAACAATAAAACCAAGCTTGCATGCAAAGTGACGTGGGTTGCAGTTTATTTTTGGCTTTTAGAATGATTTGGTGGAATTTTTTCTTACTTCTTCAGGAAACTTTGAGATTCTTATTTCTTGTTATTACTGTTAATAAACTCTAATGAAAAATCAATTAAAATAGTATAATGACAGTTTCGTATCGACATACACTTCACAACAAGGCATGTGGCCCAGTGGTAAAGGGGTTACAGCTGTGACTTCCGTCACTTGGGTTCGAGTCCCCTTGGCCACCCGAGCTGCCTTAAATGGTAAGAATATGTGGACTGCCATAGGCCTCGTGGGATTAGTCTTTGGACCTAGAAAGCCTTTAGGATCCCACAGTTATCAAAAAAAAAAAAAATACACTGTTAAAAGAACTAAGACATGGGCTTCTTAATCGATGCATTTACCTTTTCTATAACTAAACGGAGATTAGGATTATTGTTGAAGAAGCTAGTGGCATTGAGTCCATTGACCTCTGAATACAAATACATGTACGATAAAAATGCATGTTAAAGAAAATGAGGATGCATGGGCATGACGATGTTGGAACAGAAATTCATTTCTTGATTTCCAAATCAGGTAATAAGTAATAACGTTGTTCTTCTGAACAAAGCTCTTGAAATTTTTGCGGGATTTTGTATATGTAGATGGGCCTATAAATCTGTGAGGCCTAGCCCATTAAAGTCTCTTCTTATACTCACGTGTCTTACGAATCAGTGAAGACTTTTTGCATAGAGCTTGTCGACAGAGGACACGGAGTATGGCGAATCAGAATCCACCGTCGAATACGCAGACTTACGGCGTCCCGATTTACGCCGTCGAATGGATTCCGGAAGTAGCTGTTAGATCGAAAATCTACAAGGATCAGGATATTTCCGAAGATGCCGGCGATAAGGATCGTGAAAATTCCGAAGACGGCGGCGAGTCCTCGTCGTCGTCCTCCTCGCCCAAGAGCTGCATCATTTTGACCGGCGGAGGCGGAGAGGGACGAAGCGGAATCCCCAATGTCATCTTAATCATTCCCGTTGATCGCGAAACCAATTCTCTCCCGGAACAACCTGTAAGTTTGCGAACGTTTTTTTGTTCGTAGCTTGATCTACTGAGTGTTTAACAGATCTATAAATCTGCAAATGATTTTGATCTTCTCTTTAGATCCGACGCTTAACGATCAAATTTTTCAGCTGGCTAAGCATGTGGTTGGCACTGATCTACCTTATCGAATGACTGTTCATCCTCGAGAAGATGGTGTTATATGCGCATTGCCAGAGAGCTGCAAGTGAGTAATCTCACATTCTCATTAGCTCGTTAGCTTCGGAATTAGAGTGTTTTTCTATTAGAATTCGGGTGTTAAGTTTGGAAAGCATATGAGCTTGAAGATTGAGACTTTCTGCTTTTTTGATACACAGACTGTTCGATTGGGAAGACATTATGAACTCGGTAGAGGGTAATCAGGCTGGTGACGAGTCAAGGGAAGTGATTAAAGAGTTGAGAGATGTTGGACAACAGTTAGCTCTGGCGTTTAATCAGGAGGGCTCTGTGCTCGCTTCTGGTGGAGAGGTAGGGAAGCTCTTAGCTTCAATCTTTTTCAGACAAGAGAGAAAGAAACTTAAAAGTGGTTCTTATGCATTTTTGTTTTGGTGCAGTACAGGATGGAAATTTGAGAATTTTTGAGTGGCCTAGTATGAATACGTTGCATAATGAGTCCAATGCACATGCATCAGTTAAAAACTTGGCTTTCAGGTTTGCTTTTTTCTCCTTTCGAATAAGAAAAAAACATTGATATCTCCGGAAAGAGGAAGGAGCCATCTGCGAACAGTGATTGTAAATAGATAGTGATATGTTTGTTTTGCAGCGAAAGTGGTAAGTTTCTTGCATCTCTTGGAACTCCACTTTGTCGGGTTTGGGACGTAAGTGCTGCTGCTACTATTGCCAGTTTGTCAAAAGAAAAGGTCAGTGGAATTGTATACAAACTTCCAACACCATTGCATTGTATCTGATGAGTTTGAATATGAAATGAAATGCAGGACGAGGTGTTTGGCTACTGCAGATTCTCTGTCGACAATGCTGGCGATGAAGTTCTTTACATTGCTGCAAACACTGGTAAACTTACATTTTGACAGTGAAAGAACATTTGTTTAATTTGAGATCCCCTTTTTTTGTTTGTCACAGCTAACGATTAGAATTTGATTTCTTGTTTTGCGTAGGACGTGGTGGGAGTATTATAACATGGGATACAACATCATGGAAAAGACGGCGGTCAAACGTTTTTAAAAACAACTCTATAACGGCCTTTAATGTCTCAGCTGATGGGAAGCTTCTTGCAATGTAAGTGTTGATTGCATTTTCGCGACCAAACAGATAAAAGTAATAATATTCATTTTGGTTTTGTCATACTTTTTTACTCAATGCAGAGGAACCATGGAAGGTGATGTTTTGATAATTGATTCAAAAAGAATGAATGTTAACCAAGTCGTCAAGAAAGCTCATCTCGGTTTGGTCACCGCACTAGCTTTCTCCCCTGATTCAAGGTTTTTAATTTTGTCTCTACTCATTAAGGATCTAGCTTTCACTGTACAACTACCTATTCAACGATCAAGCAGCTGAAGAGAAAAATGAAGTCACTCAAAAGTTATAACTTGGGTTTGGTTTTGCAGGTGCTTAGTGTCGGTTTCTTTTGACTCAAGGGCAAGGCTTATTGCCATTGAACCAACGCGTGCAAAACGTACGTAGATTTACTATTTCTCTTGTTATCTCTCCATCTCATAAAGTAATCAAAACCTAAAGCTGTGTGCTTTTGTCAAATGAAATTGCAGGTGGAATAAGTTTGTGGGCGGTATTGCTGTTCGTGTTGCTATACGTGGTTTCGTATTATTTCTTGGAGTCAAAGGGGATCATAGGTAAAAACACTCCCTTTAAGTCAAGCCCACAAGACGATATATAGGAATGCCTGGAAACCAACACATCGTATGTTCTTTTGATTTGTTATTCGGTTTTTTTTAGCCGTAGCCTTTGCGTTTGTATTTGAGAAATTCGAAGGGATTCTTCACCTTTACCTTAAAACTTGAATGCTTTTATACCATAATCATGTAAACTAACATTGTACGAGCAGTAGACTACTACGATATTGTGGATCAGTAAGACTCTTCTATGTTCCTCATCGAACTCAAAAACATAAAATAAACAATAGAGTAAATGTAAAACAAAGTCAAATTAGTTCAACTTTCAAGTGAAACTTCAAGCTTTCTTTTCTTTTTGCCTTGATATTAAAACAATAATAGTTACAATGTTTGGAGACTGGGTAAACAAACAAAAAACAAAGCCTTGTTTATACATCTTGGATACTTCCCACATGTTAGATTATTTGGTAAAAGCAAATAAACAAGAAAAGGTGTCAACTATTGGCGCTTCCTTTGGTAGAGAGAGTAACCAACGAGCGCAGACATCAAGAATGTCCATAGTACCTGTTCCCACCATATTTTCTCGCAAATTTTAATCTAATCATAATATAAAAAAATAATAATGTTTACGATGTAATGAGTCTTTTTAACAAGATGATCTCGATACAATACCGTATTGATTGTGTGCCAACGTTCGAGTCGTTTAATCCTTGATTGCATATCTTCCAAGACGTTGTCTATTGAAGAACCATCTCTTCTTGGTGATGCTTCCGACACACTGTTATTATTACTTCCCTTTTTTTTGTTGAAGGCAATGAGAAGAACCATTTTGTTAGAGACTGTGAAACTAGGATGAGAGAAGAGGATGGAGGAGACTTGTGATTTGTGATTTACCTGAGATTGTATGAATTCCACAAGTTCTTGCAACCGCGCTGCTTGTTGTGTATGGATTCCACTTGAACTTCTCTGGACTGGTGGTAGTCTTTCCAGCACTATTTGAAGGTAACTCTTTGTTTAACAAGCCGAGAAAACAAAGACAAAATGGAACGAAGATTAATCTTTGTACTATGGTCTAAAATGTAAACGAAGGTGAAGAAAGAAAGAAACGGAGTTTCAAGATGTGGAACCTTTGTTGTGTATGAACCATCCAATTTGAGAGCGGAACCAGCTGCAGTCACAGCTTCTTTGTTTGCGCCTTTGATCTGTATGTACGGACTTGGCACATCTTGGAGATGATCAACCTCAATCAGAATCTTCAAAACCCAAAATAAAAAGAGGGCGACTTATTTGGACCATAATCATCTCAAGGAGTGTCCCAAACAAAAAAGATTCTACTTCGGGTTTTAATAAGCTTATTTCGCATTTTCAAACAAGATTCTTACCTTTCCGTCTTGGTATATAAAGGCAGAGGCTTCGATATATGCTACTGCTTGATACCTGAAACCAAGAATGGAGAATATATATCATCTCATGAAATGAGAAAACTGTTTCCGATCAAAAGTTGAGTTATAGAGATATCAGAAAACAATTGACAAACTTATTTGATTTCTTGCTCACCCGAGATTAAGAAGACCAGCCACAGTACTTACGCTAATGTCGAAATCTACTTTGGGCTGAATGATGAAGTTCCCTTCCCTGATTGGCTGTGACGCAGTAATGAGATTCATGAGACATTAGAAAAAGAACTGACTAGTAAAACATTTTATGAAACTACAGATTCAAAGCATACCTCACGTATAAGCACAGCAAACCTGCCCTCGCAGATTCTAACGCGTATGCAGTCACTATCTGACAACTGCCCATTAGCAGGAAGACCAGATAGCCTGAAATATATATCTATAAAATTCTGAACGGAGCTGCAGAATTTCGTCGAATCAAGGATGCTGAGAATATCCTGATACGCAACCTTATCAACCACGTGACAAGTGGTGAGTGTTTCTGTAGGTTAAGGATGCTAAATCTATGAAATCTCAGAATGTGCGACATTTTTTTTATCCTTACCTGTTTATTGCTCTTCAAAACAAACAAAGAGCTCTCCGGTGAGAGAACTGGATCAAAATCATTTCGAATCTTGACCTGTATTGTTAGGAAGTTGTAAGTACGGAGGCAGAGATCATACATATGCTCCAAATCGTGTGACTATACAATCACATAAAGTAGGAAAAAACAGAAGAGAGCAAGTGTACTCACATGTGCATGCACTAGATGTGGCTCAATATGTTGCTGGAACATTGGAAATACGGTCATCATTATCTCATTTTGAGACATGAAACATCCGACTCGGCTTTTATCCCTCTGGACTCTAGAGATAAGATGTGAATGAACACCTCCCACCTGTTTTGTGAAGCGTAACAAAAATCAATCTGTTCTTGATAAGAAAGAAAAATGAAAGGAACAATGAAGGAGAAAAGTCTCTTACAACAGCAACCCAAAGGTCCAAAGACTGTCTGATTTCTGGATGCAATGCATATACCCCCTCGAAGATGATCTAAACAGCAATGTGATGTTAAAAGGTTATCTAATAACTACGCTTCAAAAGACGATAATCATATTGGAAAGAGATCATATCATATGAGAAGACGATGACCACTGACCACACCACACTCTTCAGAAACTTCAAGTTCCTTGAAGCCACATCTGGTACCGGTCTCCAGGTCAAATACAGGCAGTTTTGTTCTTCGACTGTTCGTTATGTCAGCAATGTTCTGCAAATGAATTTGAGAGACATTTTTTTAATTCCAGTAAGACTCCAAAGGCCGACAGATTACTTTCTACTTTTAAATTCCTAAACAAAGCGTTACCTTTGAGAGCAAAGGCAGATCCAGGGAACTAAAGTCGTCATGCTTGAAATCTTTGACTTGTTCAGACTTGAAGTAACTTTCAAGAGAAACCACTTCACAGCCAACTATATTTGCCATTTTATGAGCCAAGCTAGTCTTACCAGACCCACTAGGACCACCTTCAGTGAAATCAGTGTGACAACATACAGTATAAGATATAGATTTTATGCTGAATCTCAAAAGTAACAGATAAAAACAGCGAACAAGCAATATTACCTATCCCCACAATAACAGGTGGTCCCTTATTTTCCAACAATGCCTAAAACAATAATCACAAGCAGGAGAACCATTACTAAAAAGAGCGAAGTCTACGCGATGAAATAAGATGTGCAAGACGAAGAAGATTTCTCCTATCTTCTTACCTGTATTGCTTGAACGGAAAGAAGCAACCCTCTGTCCAAGTCGTATGAATCAGGCATAGGAACAAGTCGTATATTATCCCTGAAAGAGGAATCTGTGGCTGCTTGATGAGAAAGCCTAAGCATAAATGCAACGATAATACTACTAAAATACATGACACTAAGAGAGGGAAAACCCATAATTCTAAAAGAAAGACGGACATACCTACAACAGAGCTTACTGATTGAGGTGGATCAAAAGAGGTGAAATGCCAAGTTGCAACCATTGGTTCCATTTGGGATTTGGTAGGAGATCGGGTCCAAGGCTGCGATAAATCCTCAAGGCGTGTAACAATGTTTGGGGTCGTTCGGATCGGTTTTGGTGCAACAATTTGCTTCTCCTGGTTAGTGGTTACAGGAGACTGTTGCAGAAGTGGAGGAGTATTCAAGCGTGGTACACCTGCAACAAGAGTAAGCTTGCAGCAATTAAGATTCCGTTGCACTGGAAAGCATAAGAAAGGATAGATAGTGGAAAGAAACATACTATATCCGAAATCACTGACCTTTACTTTCAAGGATCAGTTCCAGGTACGATTTGGTAATCCAGGGCCCAGTAATACCCATTCTCAGAGCTTCAGCTCCCACACTCTATATGGAAAAAGATCTCTTTAACATGTATAGCAAAATGAAGTGATGAAAAAGCTAGATTCAATAGCTACTGACAGAGAAGAGAAAACCAGTTAAAAATGTTCTCTATGGATTCATTGAAGATTGATAAGAGAAAATTGCGGGTTATTACCTTCCTATCTGTCCCTCTCAGTACGAGGAATGTCTCTCCAAGAGTATCAATCGTTTCACGTGAAAGGGACAAATTACCATAGCTCACAGCAGTTGAAGCTCGCTTATAACTCACTACAACATTGTAGCCTAAAGCCAGCAAACCTCCAAGTGTCATTCGTCCAACCTGCTAGACAATAGCAATCAAGTCACATAGAGAAGAGTTGTAAGGAGTATCTTTGAAAACAATGTGTTCAAGCTAGCTGCCATTATGACCAGATTCTGCCAGGATAGCCATGCTCTACAGCGGAGATTATCAGATATTAACAAAATCAAGGAAACTACATCGTAATTCGTCTACATCAGATAATTCCTAGTACTGTTATGCTTTCCACCAAGAATAAAGAGCTAAAGATAACTCACATTCCATAAAGATTTATAGATCAGAAAGAAGGAAAATGGTTATTGAAACCTCAGCTGTTGAATGTATTATTAACTCACCTCAAACTCAGCTTTTGGCCGGATAATGAAATGCTTGTCGACAATCCTTTGGTCTCCAAGCGACAGATAGTACCTTATACCAGCTTGACGAACTTTTATCCAGTCATTTATTCGTGCCTCTTCACTTGCAGAAGGAGGTCTAAGGTACATCTCAATAAAACTGAAACCAGCACCAGGAGAACCAAGTCAGTATGCACATGAATATCCAGTTAGAAGCTTAAACCATTCCCACATGCTAGAAGAGTCCTTCTTACTTATCCTTTTGGACTTCACTTTCTTGAGCAAAAGAAGTTACTATCTGTTACATGAATTTTTGTAAAGTGGTAATCGAGGTCACAACTGGAAATTTGAGCAATCGCAAGAAACTACAGACCTCACTTTTGCATTTCAATTTGTATATGGCTTCCCGAAATGATGAAACAAAACTGTTGTTGATTCTGATCTGCACATTCCCAACAAACGGACAAGTTAAACTTCCGAACACTCACAGAGGGAAAACCAAAAAAAGAATAAAAGAAAAAGCCAAACCTGTGCATGGTGAAGATCTGGCTCAATATGCTTTCTAAACAATGGGAAAATGCTGTCGATGAGATAATCGAGCGAACACGAATCTCCAATATCATAACGGACTTTAGAGAGAAGGCTAAAATGAACACCACCAACCTGATCACCAGAGAGAGTAAAGCAATCATAATCATGTTTTCACAGGCTATTATGGTTGTACATTAGCTATGGAGGTGTTAATCTTACCACTGCAACCCGAATATCAAGTAAAGAACGCAATCTTGCATGGAGCGCATATGTCCCATCAACAATCACCTACAATAAACCATAAGAGCCACACCTAAACCAAAACCAAAACCATAACCAAAATCACATTTCTGACTTACCACTCCAGATGATATCTTCACCATCTTCGAATCCACACGCCTCTTTTGCTGGAAATCAAAAACCGGAACAAGCGTATCTTTTCCTTTTATCAAATCCTATTTACAGAAAGAGACGAGTTAGTCAACTTTAGTCATAAGTTCAACAATACAATTCCAGTCAATCTAACAAATACAAATCCGTCCGAGGCATGGATCAAAAGAATACCTCCAAATTCTGGACAAGTGCATCAAAATCTAATGTTTCCAATTCATTTCCGTCGTCCATGCTCTCTCGGTAATCCTCCATGGCAATTACAGTGCAGCCAATCACAGAAGCCACTTTCTCTGCCAAGCTTCGTGCACACAAAAACATGAAATCGAGCGAGCATGCCTCTAATAACAAATTCGACCTAAACATAAAAGATCGGATACCTTGTTTTACCGGAGCCGCTAGGTCCACCGATACCAACCGTAACAATCCCGTCCTTCTTCTCTCTGAGTTCCTGAATGGACTTCACTAGCAGATAATAGCCGTGATCGAAAGCCTACGAAACAGTAATCAATCAAACCGGTGATTATGCTCTCCCACTTGTAATTTTTTCGGAAATTTCAAAACGATAGAAGCGTACCACATGAAGAGGAAGAGATTGGAGAATCGAAGAAGATGAAGAAGAAGAAGTAGAAGCTTGCTGCTGGTAGAAATCTCGTCCTCCCTCTTGGAAAACTCGCTGAACAACCTCGTCGTCCATGGCTCCTACGCTTCAGCAACTCGCGATGATCTCGGAGCAATCGAGTCGGAAATACGATTCGAAACTACGCCCGATTACTCTGAGGATCCGAAGGGAGGATCGACGGAAAAGTTTTCGTTGTAAAGATCGGAGAAACGGAAAAAAAAATCTGGAATGAAAATGATGAAACTCGGGAGAACAAATTAATTAATTGGAGGAAAACAAAATCAGAAATCAACTTTTCTTTTGCTTTATTAGCTTTTTTCTGTTGTTTTTATCCTTTGCCTTTTATGTTTATTCAGGAACACTTTGCTTGCAAGCATGAAGTCTCCCGCTTTGTTCTTCCCAGTCCGTCAGGCTCAACTCTCCGAGGACTCAATTGCCAAAAGAAATACAAAAATTAAACTGTTTACTGAAATTAACTCTTTTTAATTACTTCATTGTAAAATATAAATGTACTATAGTTTCAAAATTAATTATCTCCATGTGAGTTAGGCTGGTTCTCAATGGTTGACATAAAAAATAATTGTTTCAAGTTTCAACGATTCTATTTATGTCAAACAGAATGGATATAGGTCAATAAATTACGTAAGTAGAGTTATTTTCACGGAAATTTGACCAAATAAATTCTTTATGTTTTTTTTCCAGCGGAGGAAATAATCGGTGTTCAATTCTTTTTGCAATTGAAACGATAATAAAAAGGCCCGAATTTGTAGAATAAGAAAAATCAATTTACACTTTCAACAAAGTCATCTAAGTGTGACATTAAATTGTACAACTCTCAAAGTAAGAAGCTTAGTGCAATGTGCTATACCAAAGAGAGTTCATGGAGAGCAACTTGTCCATTTCAGAAGTGTAACACAAAATGAGGATGAAGGCCTACGTTTTCATGGGTTACACAGTAGTTGTATAAGGAAAGGTTGAGAGTAAATCCTAAAGTTAACTGCAGCAACTGAAATGGCTGATGGGCTGGAATTTTATTGTTATCGTGGACTGATGTGAAAGCAAAGACAAGGGTTGCATGCAAAAAAAAAAAGCTAGCCATGAACCTTGAAAATTAAATTATGAAATTGGAACCCTTGCTTCTAATCCAATAAGTAAGGCATATATATATATGAAGGACGAAAAAGAAGTAATTAAAAAATAAAATGAAACTTGTCACAACGAACATAAACAGCATGTTCAAAGAAAAAGAAATGACTGATCATACCAATCGCTAAGAATCATCAAACCGCAAGTGTTAAACAATAAATTGATTCAAATGATTCAACGGGAAACATAAGCTCATCGACACACTCAACCTTACCCCAAACCTCACGTCCACTGGATCTTGATTCTAAGGAAATCTTCGCATACCAAATCGTATTTTTCTGCTTGTCACCAGACGATTTCCACATAACTAAAAGTTTCTCACCATAGTCAATCATGTCAAACTCACTCGCAGTTACTAAACGGTTCTCACACAGTTCTCCCAAACCTTTAATCTCTCTCCATTCTCTAGCCTCATTGTCAGCACAAGACTTAGACCACATTAAAACTCCAGACCAAGTGCAACAGTACATTATATTATTTATCTCACACCAAACCGCCAAGGAGAAGAATCGGAAACTCGATTGTTGTCTTACAAATTTCCACGTACCATCCTTTGGGTCGTGAGCGTACTCCTTTTCATCTACAACTATGAAAATCTTTCCTTCAAACACATTCTCTATTCTGTAACGTTTATCTCCTGCACGGAAGAGATTGAGTAACTCGTCTTCATCAGCGCCAGGACCGGGCAACGCTGTCCAAGACTGAGTCTTCATGTCAAACACCTCAAACCAACTTGCAGAGTACTTGTCAATATCGCAACCTCCCATCACATATATTTTACCATCGCAGAAAAGCGCACGCGCATTCTTCCGAGCCACGGTCATGCTAGGGCCGTCACGCCAAGTATCTTTTCGACAGTCAAGGATCCTAACAGAGGACGACGGTTCCTTGGAGGGTCCACCAATGATGTAGATTTCCGAACCAATAAACATGGTGGAGTGATTTGCTATGTGAGGAGAATGGGAAGATAGTATTGAGATATATTCAAATCTACTTAAATCTACTTGTTAATGTATAGTTTCCTATTTAGTTAGGGTTAATATAATGTCGGTTCCTTGTGTATGTATATATACTTTGGGCATTGCCTCTTATGAAGACAAGTTAAGTTTTCCGATTCTAAGTTTGTTATGGTATCAGAGCACGACCAAGCATAATTTTCAGATCTTCTCGTACTCGCGAGGGATCCATACTTATTTTTTTTTTCTCTCCTTCTTCTTTGACCTTAATCAAGTGATTTCTCTTTCACACTTGATTTCTTTTGTTCCTCTGTTTTTTTTAACTCCAAAACAGAGCATCTCTTTGATCCGACACGATGACCAACAATAACCCAAAATACAAGACGATCTCTCCTTTTGACTTGAGCGCCAGTGACAATCCCGGCGCGGTGATTTCGCAGCCGCTACTCAACGGTTCGAACTATGATGAATGGGCTCTCAACTTTCGTGTGGCCCTAAGTTCACGAAAGAAATTTGGTTTTTTGGATGGAAGCATCCCAAAGCCAGCTCCTAATTCTGCTACTCCAAGAGCAAACATCACACAAATCACTACAGCCAATACCGCTGCGATCGGTGAACCATCTACAATTACTGAGAGTGACCGTGAAGGTCTTAGTGGCTTAACTGATGATCAATGGGCTGCTGTACAACGATTACTTAATGCTGGAAAATCATCTCCGAATATGAGTGGTAAGAACAACGTTTTCTGGATACTTGATACAGGAGCAACACACCACATGACGGGTTGTCTTGATCTTTTAGAAGACATTCGTGACATAACACCAATTTCTGTTATATTACCTGCTGGAGCAGATACTGTTACACTGAAACAAGGAACAGTTCGTTTGACATCAAAACTGTCTCTACAGAATGTTTATTATGTTGATGGTTTTCATACCAACTTGATATCCTTTGGTCAGCTCGTCACTGACAATTATCTTGTGGGACAAGTTACTGATAAACTCATGATTTTACAGGACCGCACCACGAGGATGCTGATTGGAGCGGGTGAAAGAGAGGGAGAGGGACTGTACCGGTTTCGGAACATGGACAATGTGACTTCTTTACAGACCAGTGTTCAAGACAACTTAGTTTTATGGCATCACCGTTTAGGCCATCCTTCACTTCCGGTCACTGGTCTTATTCCTGGTGTTTGTACTTCTTCTACTAGCAATAATAGTGAGCTTTTGATTAAGAGTTGTGATACGTGTTTTAGAGCAAAACAGACACGGCAATGTTTTCCTGATAGTTTAAATAATGCGAAAGAGAGTTTTGATTTAATCCATTGTGATTTATGGGGTCCGTATCGTACCACAGCTTTTTGTGGCTCCCGTTATTTCTTAACAATCGTGGATGATCATTCAAGAGCTGTATGGTTATACCTTCTTCCTGATAAAACATTGGTTTCTCAACAGCTTCGAGATTTTGTGGCCATGATTGAACGACAGTTCTCTAAGAAAGTAAAACGAATCCGCAGCGACAATGGCACAGAATTTCTTTGTCTTACACGTTTTTTTCAGGAAAAAGGGATTCTACATGAGACTTCTTGTGTCTACACTCCTCAACAAAATGGTCGGGTTGAGCGGAAACATAGACACATACTCAACATTGCTAGAGCTCTCCGATTTCAAGCACATCTTCCGATCGAATATTGGGGAGAATGTGTACTTACTGCCGGTTACTTGATCAATCGCACTCCTTCGATATTACTCAAGAACAAGACTCCTTTTGAGGTACTTTATGGTCATCCCCCTGGATACAAACACTTACGTGTTCTTGGCTGCTTAGCATATGCTCACAACATCGATCATAAAGGTGATAAATTTACATCTCGAAGTCGACGATGTGTGTTTTTGGGATATCCATATGGAAAAAAGGGCTGGAAATTGTATGATTTGGAACGAGAAGTGGTTTTTGTCTCCCGTGATGTTGTTTTTCAAGAAAATATTTTTCCGTTTGCCGATACGGATTCGATCGCAACACCGATTGCACAAAGGCCAGAGCCTCCTTTGTTTCCAGTTACAGCTGAGACTGATGATGATGTGGTACCGTTAACACCACCAGAAGCTGAAGATGACCACATTGAAGAAGTTACTCTACCGAATATTCATACCACTCCATCTCCTGCTGTTGAAACTCATGGCCGAGGACAACGAACTAAACGTCCTTCTACACGATTACATGACTATGTCGTTGGTGCAGTCACTACTAAGCCTCTCTCTCCTCTCTCTTCACCTTCTCCACCACCATCCTCAGGTTCGTTGTATCCTCTTTGTAACTTTGTCTCCATTGAACGTTTTTCTCCTAACCATCGTAAGTTTTTGGTGGCTTTGGCAACTAATATTGAACCGAGAACTTTTGCTGAGGCAATGAAACATAAGCATTGGGAAAAGGCTGTTGATCGTGAAATAGATTATCTTATCGAGCTTCAAACATGGAGACTCGAAGAATTGCCTCCGGGAAAGAAAGCACTTGATTGTCATTGGATCTTCACGATCAAGTATCAATCTGATGGGGAAATTGAACGTCACAAAGCACGATTAGTTGTCAATGGCAATGGTCAAGAAGAGGGATTTGATTACAAAGAAACCTTTGCCCCAGTTGCTAAAATGACTACGGTACGTGTCTTTCTTGATCTTGCGGCAAAACTGAATCATGAAGTACATCAGATGGATGTACACAATGCTTTTTTACATGGAGATTTACATGAAGAGGTGTATATGAAACTTCCTCAAGGTTTTAAATCTGATGGAGAAACACGGGTTTGTCGTCTCCAGAAATCACTATATGGTTTAAAACAAGCTTCTCGATGCTGGTTTGAAAAACTCAGTACCGCACTTTGTGCATATGGTTTTAAACAGACAAAACCAGATTATTCTCTCTTCACCTATGTCAAAGGCGATGTTCACCTCCGTATTCTGGTTTATGTTGATGATCTTATAATTTCTGGAAGCACCTCGGCAGCGATTCAAACGTTCAAAGACTACTTGTCTACTTGTTTTCATATGAAGAATCTCGGACCCGTCAAATACTTTCTTGGCATCGAAGTCGCACGCAATCCCACCGGTATTTACTTGTGTCAGAGAAAGTATGCAACAGATATTGTGGAAGAGATGGGGTTACTTGGATGTCGTCCAGCCAGTTTCCCTATCGACCAAAACCATAAACTTGCTTTGGCTGATGGAGATTTCCTTGCTGATCCAGAGACGTATCGCCGCTTAGTTGGACGTCTTATATATTTGGCTGCTACACGACCGGATCTCACTTACTCAATCCATATATTATCTCAGTTCATGCATGCTCCTCGAGTTGAACATTGGTTTGCAGCATTGAAAGTGGTTCGATATATCAAGGGTACACTTGGGCAGGGAATTCTTCTTCGTGCTGAGTCTCCACTTCATCTCACGGGTTGGTGTGACTCCGACTATGCTGCTTGTCCATTGACTCGGAGATCTCTCACAGGATACATTGTTCAACTTGGTGATTCTCCAATCTCGTGGAGGACTCAAAAGCAAGACACGGTTTCTCGCTCGTCGGCGGAGGCGGAATACAGAGCAATGACAGAAATTACTTCAGAGTTACGATGGCTCAAGGCACTCCTCTTGGAGTTTGGAATAGAACACAAAGAACCTATGTCACTTATGTGTGATAGTAAGCCTGCTATACACCTTAGTGCCAATCCAGTTTTCCATGAAAGAACAAAACATGTTGAGGTAGATTGTCATTTTGTTCGAGATGATATCGTTGCTGGTCTTATCAAGCCTATTCATGTATCAACAAAGGATCAGCTTGCAGATATTCTCACCAAAGCTTTGGGACGAAAAGAGTTTGACACTTTTCTTATCAAGTTGGGCATTCATAACTTGTATGCTCCAACTTGAGGGGGAGTATTGAGATATATTCAAATCTACTTGTTAATGTATAGTTTCCTATTTAGTTAGGGTTAATATAATGTCGGTTCCTTGTGTATGTATATATACTTTGGGCATTGCCTCTTATGAAGACAAGTTAAGTTTTCCGATTCTAAGTTTGTTAGATAGGAAACGTGTCGGAACAACCGAAAATCCACTTGAATCCTTGTTAAACCCAGTCGTCGTCCCTTCCTCTTTGGTTAGGGTTTGATTAGGTTTCGCCCAAAGACTAAACCAGCTCGGATATGGTTGATTCCTCACCTTTAAGCAGGCATAGAAGCATGTTTCTTGGGCTCCAATTTGAGATCGAGTCTTATAGATTTGCATAGAAGAAACGAGAGACCGGAATCTCTTTGACACGAGAGAAAGCGATGGATAATTCCATCTCGAGACACGTGCAAGAATGTTCTCTGTTATTTCGTCTGGCAGTGAAGAAAACGATGGTGGCTTTGTTTCTTCGGAGATCATGATACGGTAAGCTTGCAGTAGATGCCGTGGAGAGGAATAAATTTAGGGTTAACTAAACACGACTATTATTAAAGAAATTTTGCTACCGTAAAAATAAATATTGAAACACCCCACCCAAAAAGGAATATATATATATATATATATATATATATATATATATATATATATATATACTAGATTAAGGCCCGCGTATACGCGGGTATATTTTAAGATTTTATAATAAAAGCATGGAAAATATTAAACAAAATTTAATCATTTTTAAACGTAAACAAAATAATATTGAAAACCCGATAAAAATATTTAAATAAAATAAAATTGGTAATACTTTTACATTTTTATTATAATTGATTTTTCTTTTGAATTTATGATATGACAAAATGAATTAATTTGTTTTAATATTATTTTTATCCAATACATAAACACTTACACATGTCTAAATCTGATCAACTGATTAATTAATCAAACTTTTATTATTCCATTCAAGAGATTTTAATTAATGAAATCTTTATTTCAATTTTGTGAGTTATAAAAATCATATGTATCGTAAAACTGTCAAAA